CTGCATCCTATAAATACCGCAGCCCCTTGTGCAACAACCACTTGTTTCTGCTCTTTTGTCTCTGATGATGGATTCGAGTAGGAATCCGAAACGTCAGGCTAATAAAGCTCTTGTCCCGGCGATCGTGTCTCCTTCTTCAAGAGATCTTCAGGTTAAACAGCGATAGCGCAAGCACTTTTGAGTCTCCCTGGAATACGAAACATATAGTTTTTGCATATGGCAGATCTGGCAATTTGCTGCTGCAAGCCAAGCGCAGTTGAAATGGCAATGGCCCCGCGTGGAACAATGGACTGGCAAATGTCCAGTAAAGTTTAGAACCTCGGAAGGTTTTCTGTTTTGATTACTAATGTAGTAGAATATTCCTTGTCCGCAGACATGAAAGGGGATATCTAGCGGCTATAAGGGAACTCATAACAGTGCATTTGGTCTTGGGAGGCGCGTCGAACAGTCAATAACAACACTTGTTGTCGAATAGCGTTCTTTTTTTTGTCTACCTCGTAGTCAACTACGAACTCATGGGATTAGTCGCGCGTACAAGCGCCCGCTCGGACGGTCGCTCAACATTCCAACACGGTAAATTGTGCGTGAGCACGTGGAGTGCATAGGAAGTGATTAAACGCTCGAAAAGGGACGCAAGTGACACTAACTGATTGGGCAAACAGGAGTGAACGGTGTTTGCCGCAGAGTTCAACACAAAGGGGATTAAAGGATGCGGATCCGCTTGTTGCACGCAATGCCGCTTTAAACAGTTTAAAGCTAATCCTTCAGGACAGATCTCACGCTTTTACAGCAGCAGTCAGATATGATCTCAGGGCTGGAACAGTCAGCTGAACGCCATCTGGTGTTTTGAATCTTTCAAGCTTGCGTCAAATCTATACCTACTTGCTCCCTTCCTCTGACTGTCTACCGTAATTTCAAAGGAGAGTTCATGTGTTTGGACGCTGCAAAGTTTTGCAGACTGTATGTCTTGACAACGTAGCGCGCAGCACAACAGGAAAAGCGATCATTCAGGCAAGAATGAAAGCGTGGGAACGAAACAATATTTTGCTGTTTCACTGACCTCATAGAAAACCCAAAATAACCATCTGGTTTAAAGGTTTTCTCACGATTCCTTTACTGAAGGTCCTAAGCTTCGCGATCTTTCCCATTGGATAATTCCCGCAAACGTACTACATGTTGCGCCCGACTATCTGACAAATGAATCGCCTGTCTTCTTCATTTCGGTCTTATGGACAGCATGGCACGTAAGTCCTCGGTCCGAGAAAGGAAGCCGCCTACCTTTCAGGCTTTGACATGCCCGAGCGCACGTTTGGTCAGACCTATTTCTCGCCTCCAGACGCCTTCCCGTATAGTTAACTGAAATCCGATATGCTGTCATTAGTTCTCTGTAGACTTATTCGGACCTAAAGGTTACTACAACTAGTAAAGGCATACCATGGCCCTCGCAGACTGGTACATACTGGCAGTTCTTGGACACCTAGTTCCCTGCTGGTAGGCGAGCTGGCATTCCTGCTGGGTACACAGATCGTGGGACTACCTGCCTAGACATCCCCGTCTGTCTAAACCACTGTAGTTATGCCGTCCTTGGTTAAAATCCTGCAGAGGTGTTCGTTTTGGACCGGGGGATGTGGCGATACGTCTGGGTGCTGGTCCGATCGCGCTAGCCACCAGCCCTCCCTCCTGCCTGCGTCCTTTTGACTATGTCTTGACACCGGATCAGGACGTGGGAGGAGGAGAGAGTGGGGTAGATGCTGCGCAGCCCCGTCCCCACTATAGACTAATTAACGCACCAACCAACTTGACTGCTCTCATCCTGCTGTGAAGCACAGGATGAACATTGTCGGTCACGGCAGTCGGACTGCCAGTTGGGTTTGTTCTACTTGACAGACTGACCGGCCTTGTCAGGAGACGATGCACCAGGTAAAACGACATGCTGGGAGGTTAACTACTCAGCCAAAAGACCTCTGTTCCACATCGTTCAAGCTTTTACAATACGTTCGGTAAGGGTATGCTGCCCAACCCCAGTGGGTTTAATATGTGTAGATGAGCATTACACTTGTTTAAGTATATGAATGAACTTGCGTCCCTCTTTCCTGTCCACTATACACGCTGTGACTCAAAATTCGCGTGTCGCATGACGTTTGGTCAGGCAAACCGTCATAAACCGCCAAAACAGAGAAGATTGGAGTGTCCCGTTTCTGATTAAGTAGACGTCGCCAGTTAGTCACACGGAATCCCGAGTTTTACAAACCCTGCGACTCGACCGCGACTTGCTGGTTAGAATTCCAACTTACTAACCACTGAGCCACGGGCTAGATGCCCTGTAGGTTACGATCGAATATATTGACAATGGTAGAGGAATACTCACAGATTGCTCTACGGAGCCCACTCGTCTAGTTTTGCCTCGGATCGCACGACGCACACCTTGATGTAATAAGAAGGCGAATATTTGAAAAATCGCCATGCGTTTGCATTCCCTATCCTTACCTAATCCTCAGCAGTACAGGCCATTGGGCGCTAAATTCTCGGGGGTTTTTTCCCGTGTCCAGTCTACAGTCGTAACACTTACATTGGCGCTGGCTTGCTTGCGCTAACCATGACCGCTAGTTCTTACAAACCAAACTGTAACCTAACTACCCCCCAACTTGAACTTGGGATAAGGCCACCTGTAATACGAAGGGCCAACATATCGATGTCCGACCGTAAGCACTTACAACGGTCGGTATGCTAGCGCTACAAGTCAAATACCCCAGAACTGCTTTTGTCAACTTCCTCTCCTTTTTCAGTGGGCTGCCCTGACAATAGCAGTAGTCTAGATGCGGTTAAGGAAGTATAATTTTCAGGCCTGTTCTAACACAGGACGGTACGACGGATTTGAATAATGGTATTCAGCAATGAATCAGATCAAGCCCGATGAGTTGGGATCTCAAATGACTATTTAAGTTTCCGTTGAGGACGCAATCGGAAAAACAAATTTAATGGACAGAGCGAAAACACAGTCAGACATATGTATGCCTGCAAAACAGATGTCTATCGTGGCTTCGATCTATTCCTGCCGTCTTCACGAAAGGATTATTAGACAGGAAAATTACGCATTAAAAGTTTGATGATCTGTTTAATCTTATGTTGACCCAGATGCCTCAGCGGGAGTCCAGAGAGGTACCTATTTGCCTAGGTGATTGATCGGGCAATTTCCAACTCACCGACTTGGTGCAAGTTGTTTACCACGGCATTTGCTTAACCACCTACTGCAAGTCAGCAGATTTTGCTGACCACGATGTCTGGACTAGTTGTTTTGCTTTACTGGACGTTAATCAGTCAGTTGTATCTTTGATGCGGTTTAATCATGCAGTACGATCTACCACCGGGAAACATCCCGAGCAGATGTGCATCACGTTTCCTGAAAGTAAGTATGTTAGTCAAATCTCACCAGCGTGTTTACCTGATTTTGCCTTCCACATTTGTGTGAGAAGTTGTGCCGCGGGTCATCAAAAGGCGTCAAACAGAGCTGGTCGATCTCCATCGGAGGACAGCACATAAATGTTAGTCAACGTTACCGTCGCGCAGACGAATTAGTTGACCGCAGTCCGCGTTATCTTTTGGTGTTTAAAAAACCATAAAATTGATAATAGCTGAGAGGGTTGCTTGTGCGGCAATCGTAGGTTGAGCGAAAGGGCGAAATTTCATTTACTAATGTACCACTGGATGAGCTAATAGACGTAAAACGCGCTCCTGCGTCTGAATTCTGTCTGTTGCCCGAAATTGTGTGATGTTTAACATCTCTTTAATGATCAGAAGAAGGAGCGATCGCTGGAACAAGGGATTTATTCGCCTGACGTTTCGGCTTCTCACTTGAATCCATCATCAGAGACAGGGGCAGAAAAGGGTGACTCGTGCACAGGACGTTGCAGTATTTATAGGATGCAGTTGCTATGCTACCGCATACCCAAAGAAATTAACTGCGCTCCCCTTCATCAAGGATTGTTGCCCGTTGGTGCACTAATTGCTTGATACCAGCATGCAAGTTGTTAATCGCCGAAATGTCATCACCCGTGTTGGATGCTGGCGT